CTCCACACCTTCATCACTTTTCTCAGCAGGCTCCTTCCTCTTCCACTTCTCCTTTTCCTTACGTTTCCCTTTCGCTTTCTCACCCTTTTTTGCCCTTTCCATCCTTTTCCCACTTTGCTTCCCAGGATTTTTCCGTATCGTTCCTTCCTGCCTTCTTCGCCCACCCTTCTCTTTCTCATTCCCTTGCCTGCTATCCCCTACCTTCTCTGCAGGTTTGTCTCCCCCTTGTGTTTTCTCACTCCTCACCTCCTTGTTACTCTCCTTATCTTCTCCCATATCCACATCCTTACTCCCACTATCCTCCTTGTCCTCACCATCCCCCTCTTTGTTCCCTCATTGTTTCCCTCACTTTCCTTCTCCTCCTCCTGTCCCTTTTTACTCTTACCTCGTTTCTTTGGGCATGAATCGTCAGAGGCATTGTGGAAATAACGGCGGCAATCAGAGCACCATGGGGAGTCAGGACACGCAAGTTTGATGTCCATCTGGCCAAAGACCCCGAGATTTACGATTAAACGTTTTTTATACCAGGTTTTGGCAGAAGGAACAAGGTCAAACCTCACATCTCTCAATGCTGGTGTGAGGGGGTGCTTAAACGGCGGATGGTCCTTGATTATGGAGCCAAATGCGTCCTCAACAACACCTTTCAACGGACCCATGGCCGACACTGGGACGTCTAAGCATCGAATCCAGAAGAAGTGTTGTTTCATGGCTTTTCTCCATTCCAGGAGCTGCTTTTCAGACATCCAGGGGCGGAAGCAAACCGTATGGAGGGTGTTGTCTAGGTTTACTTTGTCTTCCTTTTTCATCAGCATCCACGAGGCAATTTGTTTTGCCAAAGCTACGTAGGTGAGTAAGTTACGACCTTCGTTTCTTATCACCCCTCGCTTCGGCGGGGCACCGGCTGCTGAAGAAGCAGCCCACCCATTCTCATATATCCGAATCAGTCTGCTCTTGACATCAAAGGAGAGGGAGGCCGAGTCATGGTCAAAGAAAATCGAAACTGCATTCTCCGAAAGCCACTCAGACTGAATACTAGCGAGGTCATGACCAACCACAACCTTAACGAAGTCCTCTCCTATCGAGACCGTGTTGGGAAACAGTTTTTCTGGCAAAATTCCATCGTTGAAGCAAACACTCAACAGGTCCCGAATACGTGTCCTATCAACATCGGACAACGGAGTAGGGCTCTCCGGTGGTGGGGGTAGTGACGTCATAATAATAAGTAGATATAAAAATAACCTGGAAACCTTCAATAGATATGTGTCAACGAAGGAACCTGACATAACTAAACCTAAAGAACTCTTCAACTAGTGTCGGGGTCAATCGACATCAATCGAAAAGGACTGGAAGTCGTATACCTTTCCTCCACAGCCTACCGCCCAAGCGCAGGAGTCGCCGCTTATCGATGAAGTCTCAGCGTCAAAACGTCCTCTGGGGGATATCGTGGCCAGTCTCTCACTCGAGAGCTTTACTTGGACCCGCGCCGCGAAACCATACCGTATTCCCTTGGAAATACCGAAGAAGACATAAAAGCTACAGCGTAGCTTCCCCAGGCACAGTTCCCCCCGTCTCTTCCCCTTCGGACGCTAACTCCCGTCATAATCTCACTTAGCGCCAAGCGCCGCTGAAGCGGCGCTTAGCGCAGCAACAGTTTTGGTTCCGACTGTTCGGTAGTACTTTTTTTTTTTTTTTTTTTTTTTTTTTTTTTAAGTCCAGCGTGTTGTAGAGGCCAGTTACTACCATCTTCATCCAGCGGCCTAGCTCAGTTGGTAAGGCACGCAAGTGGCATTCAGGAGCTGTCTCTTATACACATCTAGATGTGTATAAGAGACAGCGCACGGACACGCACACACACACACACACACACACACACACACACACACACACACGCACACACACAGGCACGCACGCACCCACCCACACACATGCACTCTCTCTCTCTCTCTCTCTCTCTCTCTCTCTCTCTCTCTCTCTCTCTCTCTCTCTCTCTCTCTCTCTCNNGTTGGTCCCCCCGAGTGGCATTGAGCAGAGACTGCTGATGTTCATAGGGGGAGGGGACCGGAGGGGAGGCACAGTGACTGGCCCATCGAAGAAGCTTGGTCCTGATGCTACCGGCTGACCCCTGGCCGGTATCGCCCACCTGCTGTAGCAGGTATCGCACCTGCTGGTGGGTGCAGCTCCCACATGTTCCCTCGTTGGAGGCTTGAGCATGGATGTGGCTGCTACGGGGTTCCCCGTAATACTATAATGACAATAAAACAAGGCCTGAAGGCCGTCCTGTCCAGATTTGACAGGTAATTGAATTGGTTAGCCTTTTTTAAAAAACAAGAAAAAGTTACTACCTTCTTCCTCCGAATACAGCGTACGGTCATTATAGCTGTATTTGGGGTATCGTTCAGTCTATATACAACTAATATAATGACTGTACGTTGTATTCGGGGGAAGAAGGTAGGCACACATTGATCCCCCAAAGCGGTCAGCCGTGGTCAAGCTGAGGTGACCAGGCCACCTCCCATCCCATCCTTGCGTCAATACTCCTAGCACATCCCCTATCCCTACTATCCTACCTCAGTGTGACCAGGTAGGTACTTTTCCATTCATGTATTTATTTGTTTATTGGTAAAAAAATAGGGTTTTTATTATTATTATTATTATTATTATTATTATTATTTTATTATTTTTTTAATTTGGACCATTTCTCGATTTATGCGTGTCATCCTTGCGCAGGGGCTATGCTAATCTTCTCTGTATCGTTCCAATTTTAACGGATGTCCCGAAGGACTTTTTTTTTTTTTTTGGAACTTACAGTGTGCAACTAGTAATGGTTCTTCCATTCAGCAGCCTAGCTCAGTTGGCAAGGCGTGCAAGTGGCATTCAGTAGGTCTTGGGTTCAATCCCCATTGGCCTCGTGTACCTTCGTGGGCATGCTTGACGCCCGCCGCCAAGAGATATGCTGTTAGTCCCCCCGAGTGACATTGAGCAAAGACTGCCTATGTTCATAGGAAGAGGGGACCGGAGGGGGGGCACAGAGACTGGCCCAAGAAGCCCGGACCTGCTACCGGCTATCACAGCAGGTGCAGCTCCCGCAAGTTCCCTCGTTGGAGGAGGCTTGAGCTTGGATGCAGGGTGGCCCTTCCCTTCTTCCAGACTACAAACTGAACGGCAAGGTATGGTCGAAAAAGGTGCTGGGCAGTGCACAAAGCTTATAGCCCTTTGCCAAAGGGGCACGTTAGAAACTCCTCGCGCGCATGAAGTCCCTGAGGAAAGTATCATTCCAGCTATCCTCGGTGTAGCGGACCTCTGGTTGGCCTGTGAGACCAGCCCCTTGGCCTGTCCTCACAGGCCTGTGTTGTATTCGGGGCAGTCCAGTCCAGGTCGGTACCTCTATCGGTACCAGCCAGTCCAGTCCAGTCCCGTCAGCCTGTTGGGGTATACCCCAGCTGTTGTCTGTATTCTCTCTCATTCTACACTTGCACGGTTTTGGAGTACGTGCGTTGGAGTCTTGCGTGGGAGCTGCGTTGTGCCATCTCGCTCCTCCCTCATCCTCCATCTCTATCTGTATCCCAGGCGGAGCACCTTCCCGGTGGGTCCGCTACATTGGTATCGGAGTGGGAACGTTCCCCGCTCCCACCCACCACCCCGTAGAGCCAGGATAACAGCAAAACCCGACAGGCGGGTTTTTGGCCGTTCTCGAGCCATTTTTTCGACAAAAATGAGGGCAGGAAAACGGTGCAGCACGAAGCCAACAGATGGCGAAAAACCGAGTATGCTCAAGAGCGCGTGCGCGCAAGCGTGAAGGCCAAGGCCGCCGCACATGCGCCCACGCTGCCCCGCCCTGCTGTCGAGCGCATCGGTCCGGCACTACTCAAGGGCAGCGCGAGACCCTCCCGGCCGCGTCACGCAGGAGTCGGTCTAAATCCTCGTCGCGGATGTACATGGAGCTTCCGCCAAGCCGCTCCGGCCGAGTGCGCCAGCCATACCTCTCGCGAGCCCCTATAACAGGATAGGGCCTACATGAGGCACGACTTACCTCCACCTTACGGGAGTTGTCACCTCCCTTCTGTGGGCGTATCCCCGCCGAGCTACCAGTCCACAGTACGAGAGTTGATCAGTTGCAATCGCAGAGGTGGACCAGCTGAGGGCCTTTCTCGTTCGCTATAGCATAGGGGGTACGCGCGGTACTACGCCTCTATCGGACCCGTACGCGAACCGACATCTTGGGGGGCTGAAGTCCCAAGCGCGATTCGTCGTCGGTTGACTAGAACGTATCCCACTCACCGCGCATACACCACTCTATGAACGCAAAAATAAAACACATACACCCACACGTCAAACAATATATACAAACGACCCTAGACGAACAACGCGATAACACTCCTAGTCCCTTAGCGACCGTCCCATAATTCTCCGATGCGGAAACCGGATAGGCGTCGCTCGCGAGACTTAATATAAAACCCGCGCTGTCGGAGGGGTAGCTCATATCGATTCACCATGCAAGCATACGCAAGCGATCGCCATGGTGGCGAACTATGTAGTACCCATACTCATGCGGTCCTCGTTGGTATCGAGGGTCGCATTCGACACTCAAGTGTCGGCTTACACGCGCTTTGAGGGTTAATGTCTCGACGCTGGACAACCGCCAAGTGCGGTTGAAGACCGCACCCTCTTCTGCACCCTGCGGAGAGCGGGTGGTACACAGGTTCATACCTGTGGTGGCAATCGTCTCTTATGGCCCTGGAGACCGGCTCCTTCCCCTAGGGCCTGAAA